TGGGTTTTATACTTTGGATCCGAAGTTCCTAACTCCGACTCTAGAGGGCTGACGTACAAGCAGGTTCTATAGGCTGAATGACTTCAACAATGAATTCAACTAGCTGAACTGGAATTAAAACCTGCTTGCACAGTTGTCCTCCAGGATCATAGTTGGTCAACCCTCCTTTAGATCAATTTTGCATGTTTAGTTCTATAATGTCAGTATTAAAACCTAGAAAGAAGAAATGTATTATAACAGATATTTACCATTCCTATGGCCCATAGCTACAGCCATATCCATGGCATTGAAGCCTGAGTCAGTTTCAATTGTTGGGTCGGCTCCACTGTCTAAACAGAAAAGAAAGCAAAGATGAGCCATTCAAAAACATACAGATAGCACATCAGATTCAACATGTTTTAACCATTTAAAATGGCATCATTATCATTGTAGTTTAATTGCTACAAACCTTTTCGTATGCAAGTACCATGTTACTGTATTAATTCTGTTTATTGGAAGAAATTGCTCCTTTTTGTTTTTCAGAATGCAGTTATACCTGCATTTAAATTGAACTGTAATTCTAAAGGTGTTGTAATACTGTCCCACTGATCTAAACACATCTTCATATCAAACCAAACCCAAGAGCACCACAGCTAATTAAACGTGCAAAAATATACATCTAATCAAAACTCGTCACAGATTTCAGTTTTGTCTAGAAATATATCTGTATCTCGCCATCTTTGAAACCCATTTTTAAATAAAGCAGTTTAGTATAGCTCATGTAGAGAATCAGCACACACAGGCAGCTTTGGCTACTGTCCATAACCACTCTTGTCCACTTCAGTTCGCACATCTCTAATGTGGCTCTCTCACTTCTGAAGGGTAATTCATCCAAGACTCATTTTCTGTGCCTGGTGTCCTCTTAATTGGTGCAGCTGGAACTAGTTCAGTGTTTTCGAGTGGTTAGCGCAAATATGCCCAGCAGTTTAAGATCCTGCACTTCAAAAGCCCATTGTGTGAGAAGAAATAAAAAAACAAATATTACCCCTAGAGTTTATCAGAAAGCGTTTCCATCTATCTGTGGTCAGAATGTAATGCCATGCATTTTTTAAGGGCTGTCCTTTTTGTGCTTACCCAAGAGAATTTCCGCACAGCGTACATGATTCCCATGCACAGCATACAGCAAAGGAGTGCCCCCATTCTGAAATAAATCAAGCATGCTTTTCTTAGAATGGAATATCATAACAGTGAATCCACGTCACAGAGATGAACGATGGAACATTTATTTTTCATTCCGTCATCAGTACTGCAAGCTTCACAATGTGTTCCTAAAACAGCAAATATAAACAAAATACCTATCTTTAGCTGGACAAAGAGACTTAGATCTACATTTTCTCTGATAAAGACAAAAATGATTTAGAGTCAATGATTCCAGTTGTCCTCTAAATGAATTATACATAATTCTGTGAAAAATATATAAGTATTATATAATGATAATTCAGATTACCCCAAACATGTTGTTTTAATTTGCTTATCTGAATCTGTTCTTCATATGAGTACAAAGAACAAGGTTTAGATGCATAAAGACTTGCAAATTAAATATTTTTAGAAAAGTCTTTCTGCCTTATTTCTCTCACTATATTTGATTTTTCAAGGCAGCTTTAAATGTCATGATCAAACCAAGCACTCTTGCATCATCAAACACTCAAGACAAGCAAAATAGAATGGTCAAATATCACTTTAAATGGAGAAGTTCCCCAGCGTGTGGTCACAACAAGACAGCAACAATTAGTCGGAATGCACATAAAACCATTTATTACAAAACGCGAGAGCTTTCATTACAGTATTTTGTGCATAGCAAAACTCCAAAACTTGAGAATTACTAAATTTATACAAAACTATCAGACGAAAGAAAGAAAAGGGGGGATTTTTCAGATGCCTAAACAATGGCTGCAATCACCCACCTGAACAGGAAAAATAAACAGAAAAGATTTGAAAGGCAGACTTACCCAGTCATACTCATTGACATCCACTCCACAGTCTATGAGCATCTTCACAATGTCAGTATATCCTTTACTGCAGGCTAACGACAGAGCACTTTCTCTTCCTTTTGCAAGGATATTGGGATCTGCTCCCTACACAGAAGGAAAGGTAACGAAAACCCAAATTTAATGTCTTTTATTTTTAATCATTATTTCCTACTTAGAATCAACTGCACTTTTTGGGGGTTATGAAACATGCATTTGTATGTGCATCATTAGATTAAATTGGTGGTCAAAAGTAGTTCCAAGACATTCCAAATAAGAGGCAAAAAATCCATACAAAATACAAATCTAACCAGGAGATGGGAGATCTGTTGAAGAAAATAAAAGACTGAAAAAGCTGCAGAAGTTGTTCCCTAAGAGGCGGTGCAGCACAGGGACTGGCAACACTCATTTTTAGAAACCTTAAGTTTAAGTTTAAGTTTAAAATTTAAGTAAATAAATAATCAAATGTCACTTTGTTAAACTAGGTCTCTATCAAAACATGTCAACAAGTCTGTATTGCTTCCAGATCCAACAACAGATTACATGTTGTCACTATGAAAAGATTTCTTAATACTTGTTTTAAAAAAACTCACAAATACATACATTCTCTTATTTTTTCATTATATTCTCAATTTGTAAATGGTGTAATCTCCAATACATTATTTAAATAAAGCAATAATATAGCTGCATAATTGTTCAAATTTCTACAGGAGCTACATGTCGAAAGACCAGACCGACCTCCTTGATAAAGTCTTGCCTAAAGAGTATATGTATACATATCATGTTGTCTCTTTCCTAATGTTCGTCTAAAACACTACCTGCTGGAAGGCAGCACAGTGGTGTAGTGGTTAGCACTGCACAGCATTGGTTCAATTTTCGGATGCTCTCCTCAT